ACACCAATTTTTTCCATGCAAAAGAACATGTGAAAAATAACAAGAATGATTAACAAAGCTGTCTTTGGCCACAGAAAGCTGGGCCGTGCGTTAAGCTTCTCTTTCTGCCTACTTGAACTTCTTCCTCCTATACAACAAGAAATTCTCATAACTCCATTCTCCCCAATAAACCAATTAAAAGAGTGAAATAAACATATAACTTCAAGGAAATTCTACTTACTTGGGAGTGGACCTTAACTGCGTAACTTGGACAATGAAAAGTGCAAGGAAATGGAGAGGGAATACCGTAAAAGAGAAAAAAATGAAAAAACGTGAAAATAGGAAAAGTGAGAAATATAGGAAACGGGTAGAACTCCTAAAAGAAAAGTAATTTGGCTGTGTAAACTCCTCTAATTGTACCTCAGGTAATTACAAAAGGCTTACAACTTACTACCCAAATGCTATATGGTTTGAAGGCTAAAGCCAAGTCCAAATTCAATGCAAATAAGTCCAACTTATCATTGCCAATCTATCTAACCCAAACCAGGTTTTGGTTTCAAGCCCGACTCCGCAACTCAAGAGGATGTTACAGAGAAAAGACCCTTGCACATGAGATTCTTCAGGATAGATCCCCTGAGGTACATCAAAGGGTTCAAAAAAGTTGCCAGATGAACTTCGGGGGGATTGGTGGATCCGTCATAGGCTGGTAAAGTTTTGGAAATCTTGAACTTTGGAAAGGGAAAAAGCTAACACCCAAGGATATGGTCAACAAATAGAGATGTCTCCCTAAGTACCAGTAGTTACCTTCCGCCTTCTCCCATTCCCTTTGCACTCCCTGACCATTGTCTTTTGACAACGTTTCGGAGAATTAAACATTAATCCATAATTGGTCAGTGTGGCTCAATCTAGACTATACGGAAGCGCAATATGAGTTTCGCCTCGATCCTGCCTCCATGGAGTTTGTTCAGGATGCTGGGTGGCCTTTGGTCGCTTTAGTGGAATGGTAGAGGCCACACGTTTTCCTTGTGGCTTAAGAATTCGGTTGGTTCACTTTGGGGCAATTAGTTCGCGCAATGGATGGAAGGTTTTTGAGAAACGAACCTAGCACTGTGGTGAAAACTGCGAGTATGCCTTTAGAGCGCCTAGGCAGCCAACCACATGAGGTTCCGATTTGTTCTTGGTGGGAGTGGGAAGGCATCAACGGCAATGTCCCAGTCCGCTTTCACAAGTTATTGTTTTGTCACCCTAACCCTTCCAGATTAATGGGGTTCGACCTACCCTGTTAGAAATGGTATTAGGGGGGAAAAGGTTGGATTATTTGGGATGAGAAAGTGTGGTTTTTCATGCTCTACCAACAAAACCAATGGGTTAAAGTTCTGCTATAAAATTGATGGTTTTTAGAAATTCAAGATTCGTCCCTTTCCTAGGCAATAAATTGAGAATATATAGATTGGAATAAAGAGTAATTAGTAGGTTTTTGAATAAAGAATAGTAAATAAGTCCTAGTTCATATGTTAATTAGAAGAGTTAAATTTTAAGGAAGTCTAAATAATCTTTGTTAAATATTATTCTGTTTTATATATTTTTATTATTGTACTATTATCAAATATGAAAATTTTTAATTGGCAAATTAAAATTCAGTGTTTTACATTGATTTTTACAGAAAACAAAACAATGAATAATGACAAAAGGCTGCTAGGGAAAAATGATATTGTTCAAGCAAATTGTTTTTTAGTTTTCTATTAACATAAATAAAAGTTTAAAAATTAAATTAATCAATTAAAATATATAGATAAAATGATGAACAAATAATTTTATTTTTAAGATATAGAATTAGGAAATAGATTTAAAATAAATTAGATATATAAGAAAAGAAATAAATAATTATCTAGTTATTTAATAATAGGTTATTATAGGATCGTAAATAAGATATGGTTAATAGGGAACTTAAATACTTAAATACTAAAACAGCTTACCTAAATTTAATTTTTATTAATATAAATAAATTAAAAAAATAATTTTAATAAATAAAATATAATAGATTAATCAAACAGACAATATTTAACCTTCTAATGGATAAAAAATAAATTCCCCTAGAAAATAAATTAAAAATCAATAAAAAATATATAAATAAATGGAGAACTGACATTTTAATTAACATATCTGATATATTTTTTTTTAATATTGAAATAATTATATAGTGCAAAAATATATATTTAAATAAATTGAGTAAAGATGCATACTAGTTAGTTTTCCTTTGTCTTCTTATCTCAAATCTTCCCCTCATTGCCTTTGATGTTTGTTGTCGTATACTTGTAGCCTTTTTATAACTAATATATGACCTCATCTTGAGCAGCTTTGAAAATTGCCTCCTCCCTTCTTGTCCCTTAATGGTCTCAACGATAAAATTTTTTTGAGGAACCCAAGGATTTTGTTTGATCAGTGAAATGATAACCAAAAAAAATTGAAAAAGAAAGCAAACAAAATTATGAAAACAAAAATAGTACATTGGTAAAAAGCAGAAGAATAATAAAATAAAGAACTCATGAAAGTTTAAAAAAAAAAAATTATTAAATTGGCAAATGCAGATGTTTAAAGAAATATTAAATTGCAAAAGCAGAAGATAAAACAAGAGTAAGATACCTTCGTAGCAAAACCATACGAAGAAACTTCATTAGAAAATCTAGTTGTAAACGTTGAAATATGGATTCAGATAGATGGGTAATTAGGTTAAATTCAAAAAACTTATCAAACTAATTAAAAAATAAGCAAATTGGTCCAATCAAAATATAAAAAAAAAAAAAAAGAAAAAAACTAAAATTTTTTCTTAAAAAAAAGAAAAGTAAGAAAATACTGCACCAAAGAGAAACGCTTGTCTAAATTCTCTTGTTTCAACGCTTTCAACACACAATCAATAATATATCAGGGTAAAGATTTGGATTAAAACCAAACTGAACAATCAAATTAACGTTGATTGCAATTTTAAATCTGAAAATATAGTTTTTATAATATTCAATTCCGAAAAACCCTAAAATGAAAAAAATAAATAAATTGAATTAGCAAATAGAATTAATTTGTTTTTGAACCGATTTAATTTCCATTTAAATAAGTAAATAATTCCATCTAACAACATATGTAATTGTCAATTCCATTAAAATCTCCTCAAAAAGTTAAACCTAATCAAACTCAACTCAACCGTTTTACCTATCAAACGCACTACCTACCACTCCACCATCATCCTCTAACCACCCAACTACACGCACCAATCGCATCATTATTAATACAAAAAAAAATCCTTTATGAGTAAAAAAATTAAAAGAAAATAAGCAAAAAAAAAAAGGTTAAGCAATATAAGTTATAGTTTTATGAAAAATATTTTTTTTACACATAATTTCATAATATTTTTTTATTGAATAAATTAAAATTAACAATAGAAAATTATGAGTATATACTTGTTTTAAATGATTCTTAACTAGATGAACAAAAATAAAAAGAATAATAAATATAATTTATTGCAATTTTGCATATTAAAAATAGAAAATAGAATTCATTTTCCTTATTCTTCAATCTCTTATTTATTTCATTATTCACCTATTCAATATAGTGTCCTTAACATTAGAAAAAAACAGCGCATATGCTAAAGCTTTAAAGTTTAAGCTAATAGTTGGGTGATAGAGTGAAAGACGATGCTTGACATGATAGGTCGAAAGTGCTCGGTGGAATGGTAGAAGAAATGAACATTGAGGTGATGAAATGGTCGAAGTGCTGTGATGGTACGAAGAGTGTGTTTAGTTGAGCCGTGGTGGAAGAGTAAATATTGTGGTGATCGGCGGATTATTAAATAATGAATGTTGGTAAATTACTTCACATAATTTACAAATAAACAGCAAGAATATCGAAATGACAAGTCCTCAACATTTCATGAAATTTAGTTACATAAACCAATGGATTTTGTTTTAATGGCCAAATTTTTTTTTTTTTCCCAAAAAAAAAAAAAAATTTTGGCTCAAAAAAAAAATTAAACGGGGGTTGTCAGTACCATAGCATTACATATTCCAAGTTACGTTACTTGCATTTCCAATAACTTAGTTTATTAAGCCCTTTTTCACCTTGATAACGCTGAAAAATTTCTTCTAAATATTTTTCAAAAGAAGGAAATTAAATAGTTCCACACGCATTTCATTAAGCTCAACCCAAATCAATGCAAATATTCTTTAAACATAATCATGAAAAAAAGAGTGAAAATCAAAAACCTAGTCTATTTCGAGCAACCTATAAAACTTTTAGCCCATCCTAAATAAAGCATTTTAAACAATTGTTCCCAAAATCCCCAAGTATGCTCCAAAGAGAATCACTCAGCTCTCCACAAAGTTCTTCTATACAATGGTCTCTAAACTCAAATAATCTATGTTTGACAAGGAACAATTACAAACTTGAAAATGCAAAATAAGTAAAAAATTAAATACTAAAGACATGATCGATAGCTGCCCTAATAAGAGTACCGCAGGTAAGGGAACTTAAGCAAACTAAAATCAAACAAGCAACATAAGAATAAGGGTTAACGTATAAGCAAAAAAACATTCACTTTCAAAACAGCTTTGTTTTAAATTTCATTCCACTTGAAATATTACAAAGCCCTAAATAGCTGCCTTTCAAGGGAAAAGGATAAGGCCCAAGAGAATATGGCCAGATACAAAAGAATGCTCGACAAATAATAACCTCCCGACAAACCTGGTTGAAAAGAACATGCCTAGAGATTAACAAGGAATACATGCGATTTGAAACTCTATACCTACTCCGCTTACTATTCCATCAACCCCAAACAACACTCGAAAAAGGCACTAAAAAGAACAAAAAACGATAAAAAAAGAAGCGAGCATGAAATTAATTCCTAAATTTTTTGTTAGAACTTTTCCCCTCAACAAACCTAACAAACATGTACAACCTCATCCTCACCCACCCAAACTACATCCCACTCTCAATGATAGCCACTTCTAAAATATGGTAACAAAATGATGGCTTTAAACAACCTAACAAAAGAGCAGAACAAAAACAAAAAACAAAACATGAAATACTCAAGTATGTTAAATAGAGACCCCAGTCCACGACAAACTAACACCAAGTATCCTTAAACCATTTAGAATTTCCATTAATCCCACGCAACTGTTGTGGGAACCCCGAACGCATACCCTCCAATATCCACCAGAACACCAATCCACGCTGTGTTTCCACCACCTATAATAACCCGAGTTTGCCCCTAACTGTGAAATGAAGAATCTTCGAATCACGGACCCAAAACCTGCCTCCTCCCGAGGACGATTTCCTCCTCTCCATAGAGGACGGGCCTGCATAACGGAGAGCCAGCAGGTACTGAAAAAAACCCCCTTTGTTTCTGATTTTATTCTCATTAAACAAGCTAGCGCTCCTGCCAATTGATGAATTACCTCATTGAAAGAAAGGGCATAGCCAAGAAACCAAGTTTTCCAACTCCGTTCCTGCCCCGCCAATACGGTGGACATAATCCATATCATATCAATTTGGGGATATCCAAAGTTGGACCACAATTTTGCGAACATAGAAATAATCAAATGTCCAGCGTGCTGCAACATCAGTGCCCTAAACAAAGATTGGGGTGGGTTAACCACTTTAAATGATCCGCAAATGCCTGTTCCCCTGTTCCTGCAAGATTTAAAGAAACAAACTTGTGAAAACAACCAATAGTGAGCGTGATTGAGCAACAACAAAGAAATCAACCTACCAACATGCATTTTTATTTCCCACATTAATACAGGGACGGGACATGCCCACTTTACCTAATAAATTCAAACAAACCAAAACCAAAACTAAGAACTTGATCCTAAACTAGTGAAGAATCACCTATAAGGAAAATCAATCTTCCCGCTAAATTCACCCATTAGACACATCTTCAGAAAGAATGTAAGGGCCAAGCCTTAAATCCTTTATGCACTACTTCCCTCCATGCCATCCTAGGGTCTATCACTGCCCGTTTTCTCAAATCTATTATCCACTTCAAGTGTGCCAATCCTTACTCTGGCAATTGAAATTGATGAAATTATGCCAGTAGAACATTTAGATGCTCATACACATGAGTGATCAGTGGGTGTCCGAACGAAATATTTCATAATGATTTACACTCTTTTTAAATTAATTATTAAACAAATAGTTTAAAAGCTTCAAGTGACCAATGCATTCTAAGAAATAGCATCCCAGGTTCACAACCAGAGGGGCAGCTCCAAGTCTTTTTTCATTTTAATAATCCCACATACTTGCAGCCCTAGCATGAATTGGATTCCTGCAAATCTTTGGCTGAATAAGTTATAGGCGATTAGCAAACTAGAGAGGCCAAGAATGTAAACCCAAAAGTGTGGCAGAGGCAAAGGTCCCACATTTTTTAACACCAGGGGCATCTCATTCGACGTGTTTTCTCAAGTAATGAATGGCAACATTTTCAAGTGCTCAAGAAAGCAACCAAACAGCATTCACATGATATGTTAATACCCAGACTCAAATTCGCATCTCCTATATTTAACCCAACTTAGATGGGAGCATTTAACAAGAAACCGCCCAGCTTTTTTAACTTTTCAAATTTAAAGTGCTGACAACTGTAAAGAAAGGGCAACAACAATTAACACAGTAGAAGTATAGAAGAAAGTAAGCATTTGCATAGTAACCTGATAGTTCAATTCAGCTCACACTATATCAAAATACAGTCATAAAGATGCCTCAAAGATTAAATGAAGTTACTGCCCAATCTTTTTTCGGGTGGTTATGTGGTATGCACCAATCTACTACAAGTTGTTAAATTAGCAACCAGACAGAAATCTAAAACAATTTGGCCAAGTAAAAGAATGATACTCGGTTGTTTTTTATATTTATAATTAATGGGAAACTTGGATAATCCAACCTGCCAGAACAGCAACAAATGTGCTAAACATAAATAAAATATGACTAGCATAACAGTTAAACATAATGGATAATGACAATTTTTCAAAAAAAAAAAAAAAAGGAAATTTTGGAAAAGGACTACATATAATAGATGACCTCTCTGCCCCCCTTGCACATGTACTTTTTCGTATTTTAAATGAGATGTGCATGGGTGTTAATTATCTCAAGTTAGAAACAAAATTTCATTTGAAAACCACTATTCTTTAAGAGCAATGTATTAATCCTAAATTTATAACAAAAGAAACGTTATAAATTGATACTGTAAGAATAATTTAAAAAATTTTTCAATTGCTTCAGCGGCCAAAGCACAATACACAAACTTTTAACTCCGTAAAAAAGTTCCCCATCTGCATTATTTTTTAAATGACAAAGTTGGGCCGAGTTAGACCAAACTTCGCAGAATTTTTTTGGGCAATTAAAACTTGGAAGCCTTCTTCAAGCGTCCATGGTCTTGAGTACATGCCAATAAGAAATGCTATAACAGTTGTAACATTAGGTTGAGCCAATTTTGCATTTCCAAATTAAATCGCTAGAGTTTTTTCTAAACTTCCATAAAGTTGTCACACTCCTACCAACATTTGGATTGCTATAAAGATGAACAAATTTGCCCATGAGAAAAAACTCGTCAGAAGTTCTCTTTAAGGTTTTCAGAGTATTTTAGGCCTCATTTGCAAAAGTCCAGGGGGATCTTCTTTGTTTACTTTCTCAGCGGAATACAACATTCAGTCATCTACAGCTTTAGGCATCATTCGTTACTTTGGCCCTTTTTTAGCTCACATTGCAGAATTTGAATCAAGGAATCCCAAACTCAACCGATTCAGATCAAACCCCACAGACCCGTTGTTTAAGTCAAGAGTAAGCAAACAGTAACAAGGAACAGAAGCAAATGGGTGTTACGAATCCAAAAGTCTGACCCCCTCAAATCATGGATGCATTTTAGTAGATTAAAATAAAAAAGCGAGAGCGCGAGAGCAAAGAAACCAAAATCTATGAACTCAGAAAGCGGTGGTTTGTCTCCTCATCATCAATATCACAAGTCCGAATATATTGAAATTTTTAAGTCTGAAAGTCAATAACTAAATAATCAGATATGACATCAAAGTAAGACAAATTTCAGGCACAGAAGCGAAGCACCTAAAGAAAAAAAACAATTAACAGATGATTTGCAAATGCAGAGAGCGCTATATTGATTTTTTTTTTTTGAAGTGGACAATTTCAACAATGCTGTTTCCAACCCCTATCTCACTCACCTCCCGATCAGACCCAACACTATGCTGTTGCTCTCCAGCAAAAAAAAAAAAAAAAAAAAAAAAAACAAAAAAAAAAAAAAAAAAAAAAACAAATTCAACGGAAAAAAAAAAAAATCTCAGAGGCAGAAAATATAGTGATCCCATGTATAAAAATGTTCCAACTGCTATGAAGAAAAATACCTGTTGTGTTCTATCACCATGTATGCTGGTGGCAGGGAACCCATTAATGCACAACCAATGTTCAAGCGAATCAGCACCCTTCTTTGTCTCCACAAAAACTAAAGTTAAAGCTTGCTGAAAAAATTATCAAAAAAAAAAGCAACTTTTAAAGATTATAATTAAGATTCAATAACAAGAAAGTAATGTTACTAGCCACTCAAACCATCCACCAGATTCAAGGCGAGGTTTGCATGCAGGGAAGGAAAGAAATGCATGCAAATAAAAATGGCAAAAGTTTCTTTCTCCAGTATTACCTTGCCTTGGACACCGTTTGCCCTCTGTGCATGAAGAAGGTCCATGAGGTGACTTCTTTTGTCAGACTCGTGAACAAATTCAACTCTTTGAACAATCAAATCTGTACTTGAGCCCACTCGTCCGACAGCCAAAAAGATATAATTAAACAAAAAATCAGAAGCTAGCCTCTGCATGACAAGAAGATGGAGGAAGGTATCAGATGGATGAAATTTGAAGAATCATTCCTTGCGGATGATCTAAGCAACTTAGACCAAACTCTCTCTGACCACAAGTTAAGCAACTTTTTTGACTCGTACATTCACATAAATTTGGCGATCCCATAGAAATCAGTAATTACTTATCAACTAGCAAATTGACAATGCCAAGAGATTAAACAAAAAGTTAGAGGCTTCTTCATAGTTATTAAAGGCGCGCCTGAAGTGCGCCTTACTTAAGGCGAAGTGCGCCTTACTTAAGGCTCAAGGGATTGAGCCTCAACGGTCCTGAGGCAGGCGACTTCACTCAGGCTATCGCCTCTAGGTAGAGGCGTGCGCCTTTTTTGCGCCTAAGGCTCGAGAAAGGCGTGCCTTTCTATTTTCTGTTTTCCAGAACAAGTCACCTAGGGGTTTTTTTTTTTTTTCCCATTATAAAGCTATCTAGCCAACATCAACTTACACAAAATAAATAAATATAAAAGAAATAAAATGTAACACAAAAACTGGTGATGTGCTTTGTGATCCAACCTCCATTCCTTCATCTAGCACTCACCTCTTTCAATTTTTCCTCCTACATTTACTTTCTATTTCTTTTCTTTTTTTTCATTTTTTTTATTATACTCTTTTCTGTCTTAATTTTAATATCTTAAAATAAAACTTGTCATGTTGTTTTTTTTCTGATTTATGTGTGTTTCTCTCCATGCTTTCTACTTTTTTTTTTTTTCATTGATATCATAAAATATATTTTTTAGATTTATGTATTTTATCCTCTTTTTTTTTTTTTGTGCCTCACTTCACTCAGGCACGCGCCTTCTCTTGGAGGCTAGCACCTAGGCTCCAGCAGCCCTTTGTGCCTTAGTTCACCTTTCGCCTTTAATTACTATGGGCTTCTTACACAATTAAGAGCATTAGCATCAGCAAGAAACATTTTCTATTTATGTTCTTTATTTTCTTCTATGAAAAAAGCAAAATTGCTGGAAAAAGAACATAATAGCTCTACTAAATTTAACCAAAAGGAAAACCAACCTGTATCTCTTTTGGAAAGGTAGCACTGAAAAGCATTGTCTGTCTAGCACCTGGTCGAGGCATGTCATTTTGTTCCACAATTTTTCTTATTTGTGGCTCAAAACCCATATCCAGCATCCTATCTGCCTCATCTAGGGCCAAATACTTGACCATCTGTAATGAAACTCTAGCTCTCTCCAGCAAATCTACCAGTCTTCCTGGAGTTGCCACAAGAATATCAACACCTCTCTCCAGTTCCCGCAACTGATCAGAGAAATTTCATCCATTAAAAAATAGATTATATTTATCAACTGCAAACACAGTAACACTAGATAGAATTACGTGCTCAAGATTTACATTCAATTTCTAATACAAACAGGAAATAAAACGAGGCTTCTCCAAGCTGACCCTTAGAGACAGAAGGGAGGGAATAGTTTAACAAAAGAACTAATACAAGCAACAAACAGCACACTTACAACCTTTAGAAGTTATAGTTTATTTATAAAAAAATAAGCAAGCCATCAGGAATAATCATATGATGAACAGACAATGGATTTGATGAACTGGCATTCAACAAAAGCCTCAAAGATCATTGGGGTTCGATCTTGTAGGAAAATAATGAAGCTTGCTAGTCAGAAGGTAAAGTATCAACGGAAAATACAATATTTCAATAGCCAAGAGAATTTGGCTTCCTAAACATATGGTTAACTGCTGAAGTCAAGGGAAAAGTCCAGGGAATCTTATTAATGTTTAAGATTTGCAGATATAAACTGGAGTAACATGTAATACTAAAAACAAAAATGGATGGCTGTTCAAGGCTGTGAAAAGTTATTACAGCACTATAGCAGCTGGACTAAATAGAATAACTATGAACAAAATAGAGGGAGAATCAAGAAGACACTACCATCATACCAGATACTCATTACTTCAGAATACAAAACAACCTTGATAAATCATTGCCAAGGCTTCGTTTGCTTGAAGGTTCTATAAAAAAATAGAAAAAAACATTTTGAAAAAGTTACATTTTCTTCTTGACTGCAAAATCAGCAACAAACTATTTTCTAGCATTGGAAAATGTTCTTCTCTTTCAGGAACTACGCCTTTTTGAAAGATTGGACCAATGAAAATTCCACCTTTTCCTATTTATAGATGCATCTCGGAGAAAACAATACTTCGGGAAGTGATATTAGGAGATGATCAGTGGTTTTTCAGTACTTGAATGGGTACAAGCCTACGTACTTCCCGTACGATTACTTTCTTTTTGAACACATGAGGTTATTTTCCTTGACAAAGGCGCAATTTTCCCTTTGACTAGGAAAACATTTGTTATCAGGCAACTTTCCTTAGTGCCTCAAACACTGTAAAATACCTAGAAATGCGTTCGACGAAACAAATGGCACTCAAAAAGTATTAAAAAGAAAAAAGAAAGCTAAATTTCATATGTAACTGTGAAAAGCCTTCAGAGCATAACGAGGCCCATAACAACTATAAATTTCAAACAGAGATTCTAACACATAGAAAAAGACCAACTTGTTCTGGAAAGAATCTAAACCCACAAACCCCTTAGAAACTGTAAACTAGAATCAAATACAATAGAATCCATTCTGCAGGATATTATAAAAGTTAAAAATCTGCTCTCTTACATGTTTGGCCATGTTAAATGTAACAAATGCCAATATAACAAAAGGGGAAAAAAAACAAGAAAACCTCAAATTAAAAACGATGTAACTCTTAACTATGGGCTCGAGCTCCACAAAAGATAATCCAGAGCTCACAAATAGATTAATTGGCACAGATAAGCACTCAGATACAGAGGCTGCATCACAATGTAGTGGTACTAAAAAGATTGTCCATTTTGATATTATACATCTGATCTGTATTAATTTGATTTGGGTACAAGTTCAAATACAAATGCCAGGATGTTAGATTCACAAATTTTAAACTAAGTTGAAGTCGACTAGTAGGGGTCAAGTAGACTAGGACTTTAAAAGAAGAAACAAAAACAAAAAGGGTTGACCCCCGGTTCCATCAGTACATTGCCTTGACAAAATGTTGGCATGCCAAACAATAACAGAAAAGAAAGAATAAATATTAATTTTCCCTTGCAATAATAACAAAGATGGGACTCCAACCAAGAATTCTTTAGAATACTCATGTACACACACTATTCAGCCCCCAATAATTCAAAAATAGGGTCAGCCTCTCCCAGACAGAAAATATGCCATGCCTACTAGAATGATAAGTGAATTGAAAGTTGTACCACAAACCTAAGTTCAAGTCTGCTTTCAAGCTTGAACACAATTTTCGCCTGCTTGACATAGCAAAAGAAAAAAATAAGAATAAAAGAAATGTTTCTCATTAGACAAAAGGTTCCGTTTGGTTTGCAATTTCTGTTATGAGCCTCAAAAAAAAAAAATTGTAACCCCGCCCTCATTCAGATTAACAAAGGATAACTCTTTACCTTTCAAATAATTGAGGCTTCTATTTGTTATTGCAAAAGAATAGATATCACAATGATGGAAACATCTGAGGCTTCTTGAGAAAGTGTTCATCACACTGGTAAATTTTCCAACCCCAAGTTATCCATTATCCAAAAACCAGTAACTTTAGATTTCAGAAAACACTCATAAAGAACAAATACTGCCAGAATGGCCTAAACGTCAAATCAGATTGACAAACTAGATTCTTTATCTAGCATAAAGATATTGTACACAATCCAATTATTAAATTTTTATATAATGATAACAACACATTTGATCAGGTCCAAAATGTCTCGTTAAAGAGTCAGATTCCAACCATGTCCCTCAAAGCAAGACTTCTTTGGATCAACCGAATGCAATCAACCTGCACAATACACACCCTCCCACAGCACAGTAGGCCCATCCACAACATGGACACGCAGCTTTTTCACAAAGTAACTGGAATATTTTGCAGAGAGCATTCTCCACAAAAACTGCATTTATGAAGAGTGTTCCTATAAGGTGCCTACCCTTAACAATTTGACTATAGAACCACCAAAACACAGCATCACATGCTATCTTTTAATTTTAGACATAGAAATATAATAAAGGGACATAATTTGCTCAACTTCCAGTCTTGCAATAGAACACACAGAAGTAGAAAATAAAGCCCAGCCACATAACATCAACCATATCTTAAGAAAAAAGAGATTCATCAAGACAAGCATCCAAACTTGGTCAGAAAAGGAGAAAACTAGAGATGGATACACTAAATAGCATATTATTAAACAGAAAAAAAAAAAAAATCAGCATCATGCATCAGAATATTTGCAATGGTACAAGAAACCAATAAAAAATTCTTAATCAAAATATAATTGCACAAAATGGTTGCTATTGCTTTCTCTCACAAAAGATAAGGGCGATAAACATCCAACACAAAAATATATATTAAGAAAAAAGCCAAATGACAACATGTCAACATCAAATATCATCAATCAATGAACAATATAGAACATACTCAATATCAATAAAATACTAGATAATGCAATCACCACAACCCCGAACATGATAAAAAAGGGAAAAAAGAAAAGAGCTAGTGGTGAATAAAAGGCAAATAAAATAATACAAACCTGTTGATTAATTGGTGCTCCTCCATAGGCCACAACAACCTTAACACCTGTTTGATAAGAGAATTTCCTGGCTTCCTCATGTATCTGCAATCATTGGGAAAATATATGACTCACTCACAGTATGTGGGACTAAAAATGAGCACATCATATGAACAGCCAGCAAAAAAATGCACCTGCATTGAAAGCTCCCTGGTTGGAGAAAGAATTAGAGCAAGAGGATACACTGTGCGTGCCCCACGCAGTGGTCTCTGTGAACACTGCCCTTGCATTTTCATAATCCCACTAATAATTGGGAAACAGAAAGCAGCAGTCTTACCAGAACCAGTCTGGGCACATGCCATCAGATCCCTGCCTGAAAGAGAGATTGGGATGGCATGCCGCTGCACAGGTGTTGGTTTCACATACTTGCACCTGCGAATGTTCTGGTTTAATGCTTCACCCAAGTCGATCTCTGCAAAGGTGTTTACAGGTGGAGGCACATTTTCCCCACTTGTCTCAACTGGAATATCCTCATATGCATCAAAGTTAATACCAGTATTCTCTTGCTCACTAAAATCCTGCTCTGTATCGTCATCATCACCAAATGGGTTCACTTCCCGATCTCTGCCACCCCAACCACCACTTCTTCCACCCCAACCACCACCTCTACCACCACCACCATACCCAGATCGATAATCATTCCGAGGACCTCCCCAACGGGATCCACTGTGTCCCTGACGATCATTACTTGATGCAGGACCACTATAAACTGGAGCAGCTGGTGGGTCTGAAGAGGGAGCACGGTTACGAAGATGTGGGGGGACGTAAGTGGCTCGGCTAGGGACTGCTGATGTTGTGCCTATATTTCCATTATTAGCAGAAGCACCAGCAGATGTGTTCTCAGCTGCAGAATTTGCAGCCAAATCAGCCCATGAAGTTCGTGTACTCATTACAATTCACAAAACCCTAGCTACAATTGGAAAAATTTCTTATCCAAAAATTATTTTACTTCCAACTCGTCAAAGCAAATTCCTCAACAAACTCTAAGAAATCTCACTTTTCAATAGCAAAACTTCAATTTAAACTTCAATTTAACGCCTGTTCAAAACCTGTCCAAACAAATAAATCCATCAAATTTCACGATCTGCAAACATACAACTAGCACTCAAGAAAACAATAGAGAGAAAAAAGAAACAATAGAAACACAAGGGTTATTTTTCCTGCCAAAAGCAAATTCAACAGAAGCTCCACAGTCAGAATAATAAATCACACTAGTTTTAGAAAAAGGACAGGAAGAGAACTAAAGCAACCACAACTATTAGAAAAGGCCTACCAAAAAAGATGATATCTTTTTATCAATGACCAAAGAAAAGCAAAATCAAAACTGATCTGCTCAATCAATGAAACAAAATTACACAATCCAACTCAAAATCGAAATGCAACAATTCTGAACCCAAGAACACATAATCTACCTTAATTTTTTCTTACAAACATAATGAACAAGCAAAGTAAAGCAAATCTATCTATCCATGCATACAGAAAGAGAAAGAGAACCTGTCAAAGAAAGAGAAGAGGCAAAAACCCAAGAAATCGAAGAAACGTACCGAAGATGCTTCTAAGTAAGATCCAGAGGAAGAAGAAGGTATAAGAATAAGAAAACCCTAAGTATATGCCTTGTAATGGAATTTATTTAGGAAGAAGAAAAACATAAATATCTTTTCTCTCTCTAGAAATATACGCGTTGTGTCTGTGTGATTCTCTCTCTAACAATATGTAAATATTTATGAATCCTATTTTTATTGTTTCTTTCACGCCTTTCGCTTCGCCTTAGCTTGCGTTGCGTGCTTTAAAAAAAAAAAAAAAAAAAAATGAAAAATTATCGCGTTTGTCTGTGTGGATTCCTTCTCTTAACAATTATTGTAAATTCTGATATCCTATTTTAATTGTTTCTTTCAGCTTCGCCTTTCGTCCTTAGCTTGCGTTTTGCGTGCTTTAAAAAAAAAAAAAAAAAAAAAAATCTGTTTCCATAGAATGCAAATTAAATTCCTTCAATTTTTTCTTTCAAGTTGTAAAGAACGTTTACTCACATTAAAAAGATAAATACTTAAATTAAATCAATTAATTGCGGCTGGGTATGTGCGGTCCCTCAACAAAAGAAAGATCCTTCTCTCACAAAAGAAAGACCTTCCTAAGTAAGTTACTACACCTTCACCTTTACGTTTCCACCATTATTTATTAAAAAAATTATAATTATATCCTTATATTTTATTAAAAAAATTACTTTAGTTTTGTATATTTATTAGATCTTTTTACGACGTACGATATAAGTTGACTATATTCATTATATTCTTTTTTTAAAACGTATCTTGCACGTTAACTGTACTCGTTATATATTTGTATTCTTTTAATTTTTTTATCTGTATAATATTGAAGCATGAGTTTATGTTTAGATTAAAATAAATACAGTTGCTTAATTTGTATTGGATTTAATCGAACAAGCTACTTGTAATGCTGCTTCTTATGTACTTAATTATATTATATTTATAATGAAGTGGTCTCAAAATAAAATTCAACATAATCTTTAGATCTAATCCTTCAGTCCCTAATTTATAAATACATATTTTTAAAACGTTAATAAATGCCTAAAAAGAAAATCAAGTCATCATTCATTCTCTAACCTCCAACTCTCAATCTCAAATCAATATTTATATACAACTATAATGAAAAATAATAATTTTCTCTCTTCTATACCTCCATACTCTTTCAATCTCAAATCTCATATTTATTATACAATCTATAATGTTTAAATATAATATAAATTATTTTACTGCTTATAAAGAAAGATATAGGAGCAATGATCTGAATTGATAATTGGTATTTTTGTAAGGCGTGTTATATGGTGACAGTAAGGTTTTATTTTATCCGAGTGCATTAAAGAAATGCAATATATTTACACATTGTTATCATAATATACATTGTTGGATTAACTTCCAAAAGTAATGGTTCCAATATACAAAAAATATTATTTGTTTCTATTGTTTTTTTTTTTTATTTATAAACACTTATTGGGTTCTTTCAAAGTAAATAAATTTTAGAAATTATGAATAGTTAATTATATATATTAGGAAGATTAAAGTATGTTTTTTAATCATCAAGAGTCATCTATTTTATTGCTTAATGAGACATTATAATCTTTTTTTAGCTAAATTAGTTGATAGTATTTAACAAATTAATTTATTGTAATGAAATTAAGTAAAATAAATCAAAATCAAAATAATTGTTTTATTGAACGAATTGAATTTCTTTCGAAATCTCAAACTATATTATTTGTATTCTAAGAATTACAAATTATATTTAAAATAATTATCAATTTTTGAATTTCAATTAAATTAACTCCTTTCTTTAACTTTGAAAATGGTTTGTAATTTAATTGAAATTTTTTTGATTGTGTGAGGTTTTGTTTTGAGGTTTTTCAATTAAAAAAATATATTGCTAATGTCAATCTATGAATGAATTAATTTTACATGAGTTAATAATAGATGTTGAGGTATCTATTATTTTTTGTTTCTCTAATTTTTTCTAAAGTTGGTAAATTTATTAATATTAAAAATTAATATAGTTTAATAAGGTTAATAAAAAAGATTATCATAATACATGTTAAATGTTTCTTGTTATCGCTTCAATAGAATCCTCAAGTTTTTGGCCTTAACATACCCATAAGCAGTTTAGAGAAGAGATTTATTATATTTTTTGTTTTTCTTTTTTACTATCTAGTATTATATTTTATTTAAAAATAATTTTTGAGAAAATCATATTTCAATCAATTTTAATGGTGGTTGTTTTTGTTTTTTTATGTTTGTTCCTTAATCGAAGATTATAAATTCTTCTCAATTGGTTCTTTTCAAGTGTAAAAAAACGTTACTCACATTACATTAAATAATGACTAATTTTTTAAAAAAATATTTGCGGCTCTTGGGATGTTAGCTTCCTCACAATTAAAGCAATAGACTCTATTTAGGTATTGTTATATGGGAGCACCTTTCACTCTTTAAATCGTTTTCCCCATTAATTTATTAAAAAATTATAATTTATATCCTTAATTGTTAGTTAAAAAAATTACTTTTGAATTTTTGTATGTTTATTAAGTTCTTGTTATGAAACTTTCTATATAGGAGGTTGCTGAACTAATATTTATATGTTAATTTATTATTTAATTAAAAAATGATTACATTTTAATATGAAATGTTGCTTTTTATCTCCAGAATTAAATCCTTTTCAGTTTTTTGCCATGACAATTATTATTTCAGAAATTTAAGAAGAATTATATTTTTTTTTCTTTTTTACTACTATATTATATTTTATTTAAAAATAATTTTTTTAGAAAAGGTCAATGTTTGAGATCAATAATGTTTGATTTTTGTTTTTGTGTGTTTTGTGTCTTAATATCACAGGTATCTCCTGATGCTCCATCTTTGAGTCTATTTGATCATTAAATTCTATGATTTAGGGTCGGTCCCCCAAGAAGGAAAAGTAATTGTTCTTTCTGATTTTGCGATGGTTATTTTGCTCTGCTCCATGAATTGATCGGAGGACTCTCTATATCCTCACTTAAGGTGTAGATACAATTGTCTAACCACTCTTTATCTAAACCTCTCTATATATATTAATATTGTTAATTTTCCGATATTTTCTAAGCATTTATAGGTTATGATTATAGGATATTTTCAAATTGGGCGATATCGAAAATTCTCTATTATTTCCGCACATTTATATAATATTGTTATTATATATATAGATATATTTTTAAAGATTTAAATTCTTATTTAATAGTTGCAACAAATATAGGTAATTTTATAGTATATTTCAGTTAAATTATATTCTTTTTAATTATTATATCTTGTATCTGTAATATCGGTCATTAAAAATAATTGATATATTGTGGTTTTTCCTCTCTTTCAAATATTCCATTTAAATTTTATTGCTAATATATCATTTTATATTCTGCTTCTTATGAGTTCTGTATTTCTATAGTTTTTATTATACTCTAGGGTTTGGCTTTTATTTTTTGGTTTAAGTTACCAAATTGATTTATAAAAGTCATCATATAACTTTGTTATTTTAACGTTTTATCTTAACTATTTTATCATGTTTTTTAATTATAAAATTGTTGTAATATTAAGCTTCTTTTTGATTATTCATATGAATAAGAAACTAATCTAATAAACCAAATTAAAATTTATAAATAATAATAATTTTTATTTTTATTTTTTTAACCAATCAAAATCACAAAATCATTTAAAAAATTTATTATTAAAATTATATTTCTTAATAGAAAGAATAGGATTTGAACGAAATAAGATATCAATATAATTAATCAAATTTGAGATATTTAAAAATAACTAGTGTTTAATAACGTGCAATGCATGTTGTTACTCATTGAACATACCCATTAGAATGATTATTTATAATTTTTTATGTATTTTTTTATTAATTTTTACAAAGTTTATTAATTTTTACAAAGACAATATAAAATTTAATATTTTTAGTTATAATTATTATATGTATAAAAATATGTGCAAACCACTATTATACATATCTAGTATTTGATAAAAAACTTTAATAATTTTTTTCAATAGATTTTTTTGACAAAATGGAATAGTTACAAAGTTGAATAAATAACCATTTGATCAAAGATCTTGCTATATATAAAAATAAATACATATATTAATTATTGGTAATCAAATTCAATATTTTTTTTGTGATAGTATACAAAAATAAAAAAAAATTAAAAGTTAAAATTTGTACCTCAACCATTAAAAATAATAAAGTGAGAAGTTTTCAATATAGTAATAGCAAAGAAACTCTTGATAGTAAAGAGTCTTCAATGAATTTGATAATAAAAGCAAAAAAATTATTGATAGTAGCCAAAGAAAATATAGTTATTTGATAGATTAAATTTTCAATTGAGTTATAATTTAAATATTTGTCCTTTATTATCATAATAATAGATGTATTATTAAAATCAAAGTATAATAAATTTTTAAACTAAAAATATGCAACAATTAAAAAAAAAAGAAGTTTTACATGTTAAAAAAATTACAATCACGATTTAAATAAATTTTTTTAAAAATTAACAAATTTATACTGATTGAAAATTGGTCGAGAAATTTACTTAGCAGATTAAGTATAAAATAATTAATACCATTCAAGAGAATGATAAGCAAAAGAAGCTAACAATATTAACAAAGCAAACATAAGGAAATATGAGGAAAAGAAAAAAAATTTCACTTTATAATTCATAAATTTAATTATTTTTAGATTTTTAATATAAAATGGTTAAGTTCTTTTGCAATAAAATTTAAATAAAATTTATTATTGGATTCAATCAAAACTACTATAATAGGATTTTCATTCTTATTTAAGATTGGGCAGAATTTATCGGTTACGATTTCTAATATATATTTGATTTTATTATTTGATTTAATTAATGATATATTTTATATAGTATATAATATATATATATATATATATAGTTAGTTAATTAATTTGATCATTATTAGGATCTTTATATATTTGATTAGTTTATTACATTTTGTATAACTTTAAATATTATTTAAAATTAGCTAATATTTAGCATGTATTAATTGTCAAGAGAATACAAATTTCAATTAACTAATACTTCCTACATCTCATTTTATTTGCATGGTTTGACAAAACATGCATATTGAGAATTTAGTCAACAAAAGTTATTTTTTCCTTTTTTTTTTTACCATTAACTCATTAAGATATTAATAAAA